TTAAGAAAACAATAAAAGAGATAAAAGTCAGATGGAATCATCTTTAAATATGAACATAAAATATATTCCAATGCCAAATATATATATATAATATTCCACCACTCTGAATTAGCCACACCACAGCTCTTCTTAACTAAAATAGATAATTAAGTACTGGCTACATAAAAAAAATCATTGCCAAGGGATATTTGATATTAAACCAGAGAATCAGAAACTGGAATCTATTTGTGTTTCCTTAACAGGCTCATAATTGCCCTTGAATAACTGATTTTATTACTTTCTACACTGTCTTAGTATTCTTATAAAATTGGCAAGTCTAGTTGTATCATGAGCCTGATTTTTAAAAATGCTGGGGAAATGAATAGACTAGTATTTTTCAGAAGCTTTAAAATTTGATTAAAATTTCTATCTTTAACACAAAATGAAATGTGCCTCACCGTGTATAATTTACTCACTTCTATCCAAAGACCTTTGATTAGGATAATTTTTCAAATATAAACAATTAGTAACAGACCATTTATTTACTAAATGTTATAGAAGAGAGCCAGCTGTCTGTATTCCCTTCACTTAACTGTTCTGAAGTTAGAATTTTCTGATGACATTTTGCCATTTAAAAATGTTCACTTAAACATGACAGCCTTCACAAATTGGATATTTGTAAGGTTATTTTCCATACGGTCTCTAAGAAGAAACTTATTTGGTCTAAGCAAATGATTAGCATTTCCGTATGATATGACTCTACTTTTACTATTGCCCAGAAACCTATCTTATCACTTAATTTAATTTGATATGTAAAAGGCCTCCTTTTAATCAACTTTAAAATAATGTTCTGCTGATTTACAAATGAGAGGTCAATGCTAATTGAGAGAAGTCTTGAAAACGCTGGCACCTTTTATCCCCGCACAGAGATTCCATGCTCTGTATGTTCTGATACTTGATTTTCCCATATTGCCTTACGAGGTTAAGAAGATGAATGCTCATTACTTTTAATCCTTACCATGATTTATGAGCCTCTTGGTATCCTTTCCCCAGAGCAGCTACAACTGTGTGGCTGTTCTGCCTGCTGCTTAAATTACACAGACATCTGCAAAGTAAATTATGGATTGTTGTCTCATAGACCATAACCAAGCATTCTCTTCATCTCTCCTGCAGCATTTTTTGATTAGAACAAAGAGTATGTCTGTGTTTACTTGCTTCTATACTAAGAAACTTTAAGCTAACGGGAACAATAACACAATGACCTGGACAGCAACCTGTCACAAAACATCAAAGCAGCATGACATATAAACAGGATAACTTTAAAGCCAGAAAAAATAAAAAGAAAAAGTTCTCTCATTTATTTGTATCTTTCATCTTTATTTAAGGAATAACATCGTTAGGTTCACAGAAGGAAGGTGACCTTTAAAATTAACTGAAAATATGTGCTGTGGAATAAAACACATGCAAATGACCTTTGTGTCTCTAAGGGTTGAAGATTTTAAGAGCATCTTGTGGTCTATGACTCTTTAAACATTGAGCAAAGAAATGAAAAAAATACATAAAGGAAAATTCATAGAAGATTGGGGTAGCCTTTTTAGATTTTTTTTCTCTACTGATCTCACTTGTAGTAAACCTGTTTTAATAATCCTGGAGGCTTGCAGCAATCATGAGTAATTGGAACAACTCTTTCTTCTGAATTAAAAGTCTGGCAGAGTCTAAGTTGAAACAGTCGACTGCTCCTGTATTTTCCTTTCTTTTCTGTCCTTGTCATGTCGTGTAGATGATGAATCATAATTCCCAATGACAAGTCCGTCGTGAAATCCTAACAGGCATGTCTCATATTATTAACCTTTGACAATACCCAAATTAGAAACATCCCTGCATTTATTTTCTTCAGATGTGCTAATTGCAATCCAAACAATAACCTCTCAGGGGAAAACCACACTAACAAAATTTACAAAATGATTTCTAGTTATTCTTTACAAACCACTTTATTTAAAAAAAAAACAAAAAAACCCCAAAAAACAGATGGCTCTGCAATTCATTTTTTGAACCTGGTTGTCAACTCAGCAGGATGCAGTGAACACCAAAACCAGAAATGCTCAAATCTACTCCTCGCTGAGCAGATTTGTTGATCCCTCTGTGGTTCCATCAGTTTCTGTTTCCCCTCATCACTGCTGAGAGGCAGTGCTTTCTAAGTGTCAAGACCTGATATTCATACTAAAGACTTGTCTTTTTAAAAGACAGATTCTAGATCTGTTTGTCTTTATGTCAGCCAACAGTCAACAGTTCACTTCCAAAACTTTCCTTTTGCCAACACCCTATGCCTCCTCATCTTCATATAATAAAGTATAAATGGAATCCTGAAGGATTCTACTTGGTTAAAACCCTAAATTATTTAAATATATCTCTCAACATAATCTCTCAATACTTGTCAATGATCATCTTCTTACATGAGTGCACACACACACACACACCTGATCAGTGTGTTCCTTTACATTCAGAAGCAAACAAGTAACAATAAAACGTGGCTCCAAATCACATAAAACATAAAGCCCAAATCCCAGACACATTTTTAAATTTCATTTAAGATTCTTAATCTTCTATGCATGTTATTCTGCATTTATTTGCCAATTATTCTCATATTTGATGTACCTTTCATTCTCTAACTCCCTAAGTGGTTTAAAATTCACCAAACATAAAATGATATCACATGTCTTCATCCCTTTAATATATTTATACCCTCTTCTTTACAAATTTTATCCATTTCTCTTTATAGTCCAGCTTAAATGCCCTTTGTGTTTTTTCTCTACCCTTTCCAACTATAGCAAGCAGAAGAAATGGCAACTTCAACCATATTTTTCATATTGGAACAAAAAAAATATTCTGTAAATGACCAAAGAATGCTGTCTAATCATGAGAAAAGAAAATGAGTTCTTTCCTTTTTCTTCTTTCTTCTTTGCATGATTTATAATAAATTAATTATTTACTAGGCAATAATGAATATAAGTAAGTAGAACAAGCAGTAAGTTTTGTAAAATGTTGAAGAGGAAATAGATTGCCTTTTTCTTTTGTTGTTCAGCAAAAAATTTATAAAGAAGGTGATGGGATTGTAAACAGGCCCAAGAGCATTACTCTATTCAAAATTAAATAAATGACAAAGAAAAAATTATCTTTCTTAATAAACAAGTGTTAATATAATAATAAGTTAGTTTGACTTGACACCTATGTAGTCAATGTTCTCGGAAATCTCTATTTTAGTATAACATTCTACTGAGATTATTCTCAGGTCTGTTTTCATATGTGAAGATTATGAAAACACTCACCTTAAAAGGAAAATAATTTAAGCTATTCTCCTCAAATGTCTTCTGCATTAATATGAACTCTGATTAAATACAAATAAAGATTCTAATTTCTTCAAAATGTATCCTTTCTCAAGTTATTATTTTTAAATTACTCTTACGTAAAATGAATATCGAACTTTTTACATTTCTTTTTATCTTTGATTTTAGCACAGAGTAAACTAAAGGATATTCGAGAAGAACGTGTTTTTATTTTTTTTCATTTGGACCCTTTTTAAAGACTTCATTAAACTTTAATTAAAAAGATATAAAATCCTACCTTAATAATTGGAATGGCTTGATATTCATTTTTACTCATATTTGCATCACAGATAATATCTAGGTTGATGTAATCATGGGTTTTATAACAAGGATGAGGTGCCAGTTACAGGAATTAAATTTGAAGCATTTACCTTTCTTACTTTATAAATATGTGTATAGGATCTGCATTGAAATCTCCCCTCAAAAATCATCCATAATCAGGAATTTTAAACTTAATTGAAATTTTCTACAAAAGTAAAAAGATGTTACAAAGTAAAGGTAAGATGTTTTCCATTAAAAAATTTAAATACTGATGAGAACAAGTTAACATATAAAATGGATGACTACAAGGAAAGGAATAATTAATATTTCAGATACAAATGGTTAATTTCATTTAAAAATTATCTCTTAAAAATTTTACCTAAAATGTATATAGTGTTTACTCAAATCTGCCACTTAAAATTAATTAATAATGTTATCAAACTATATTAAAGCTTAACATTTTTTGAACAAGTTAATCTCATAAAAGGAACACTAAAGAAAAAGGCTTCATTTTTCTACTTATGAAATATAGGTATGCACAGAGAGTTTGAACACATATCACAGAAAGATTCATAAAACCACATGAGTTTAATTACATGTCTGCCTTATCTGTTCAACCTTGTCTTTTTGAGCTGTTATATCGATGGTTAATCTTAATTGATCACTGATTGGGAACTGAGAATATCAAGCTTCTTTTGACGGCTGCCTAAGAACAGATTGTATCATTACATTACCAAACAGGGATTGTCAGAGCAACACTTTAATTGTTGTGTCCATGAAGGTTAACTGAAAGTGTCTAAATCTCAAGGTTTAGATTTCTGCCATCAGCAAAGAAAAAGCAGCTTACAATTACCAGCAAAAGAAATAACTGAATTAGACTATGCCCTATTAATAAAGATAAGGAAATTTGTGACTTTGTCTCTTTGTTTCTGTGTGAGTAGTTCATTAGAGGTTTGCCTTTGAAATGAGACATATCTAATTTAACAAACATAATATCCACTAATTATGAGGGAATAGGCAAAGTGTCATAAAAATAGAATATAAAAGGAAGAAATGAATTTCTGATCTTCAGGAGGCACCCAGCCATTAGGTCTTCTCGAATCTGCATGTAAATTGAAACAGCACGAGAAAAAATACAGTAAAGGAGCTAAAAAAAAAAAATAGCTAAAAATATATTCTTGCCATTAGAATTTATTACTTAAAGTTCATAATTTTGTTGTGTTTATGGTCAAATATCTGTAAGTATATGAATAATTGAATATTCTCATTTCTAATGAAGTATTTTAAAAAGTAAAAAACAATAAATAAATTTGAATTTTGAAGTACTTATTAAGAAGTTAAAAGCATATATCTTGACAAGATTTAATTGCCACTTACCCTTAAAAAGGCTGGCATACTTTAAAACTCCAATCTGCTATTGAGTTCCAACTTGACTATAATTCCTCAAAAGAGCCAACCAGTTAGGTAACAGAGCTGGAAAGACAAACATAGACAAAGTCTGAATGTTAACTATTTTCTCTAATATATATTTATTTTAGAACATTTACATTTTCTTAAAATGGTACATTTGTCAAAACTTTTGATACATAGTGATATATGGATCAAAATGAACCAATACTGATACATTAATCTGATTGCACTGTTTTTTCCCTTAATATCCTTTTTTTCTGATCCAAGATATAACATTGTCTTTAGTGGTTGTGTTGTGTCTCCTCAGTCTCCTCTGGACAGTGATAGTTCTTCAGACTTCCCTTGCTTTTGATGACCTTGAGAGTATTGAAGAGTAATGGTCAGATATTTATAGACTGTCCCTCAATTATAATGTTTCTGATGCATTTCTCATGACTAGATTGAGGTTATGGGTTTTTAGGAGGAAGATCACAGAGGTAAAGGATCATTCTCGTCAGTTTATATTAAGGGTGCATATCATCAGCACAACTTTTTACTGTTGATGCTAATTTTGATTAGCCAACTCAGGTACTGTTTGCCACAATTCTGTGCTGTATTTTTTTAATTTTCTTTTTTCTTTTTCTTTTTTTCTTTAAGCATATTATGGGGGTACAAGTGTTAAGGCTATGTATATTGCCCATGCCTTCCCCCCGCTGAGTCAGAGCCTCAAGCATGACCATACCCCAAACTTTGCACATCTCACTCATTGTGTTTGTACATACCCATCCCTTCCTCCCCCCTCCCACCTGCCTGACACCCGATAAATGTTATTCCTATATGTTCACTTAAGTGTTGATCCATTTATACCAATTTTCTGGTGAGTATATGTGGTGCTTGTTTTTCCATTCTTGAGATACTTCACTTAGTAGAATGGGTTCCAGCTCTATCCAGGAAAATACAAGAGGTGCTACATCACCATTGTTTCTTAAAGCTGAATAGTACTCCATGGTATACATATACCACATTTTATTAATCCACTCATGAATTGATGGGCACTTGGGTTGTTTCCACAACTTTGCAATTGTGAATTGTGCTGGTATAAACATTCAAGTGCAGGTGTCTTTTTCATAAAGTGACTTTTGATCTTTTGGGTAGATGCCCAGCAGTGGAATTGCTGTATCAAATGGTAGATCTACTTGTATCACTTTAAGGTATCTCCATATTGTTTTCCACAGAGGTTGGCGTGGATGTGGAGAGATAAGAACACTCCTACACTGCTGGTGGGATTGCAAATTAGTTCAACCGCTGTGCTTGCTTTTGTTCCTTCTTTCTTTACTGGAAGCAAGTCACTAAAAGCAGCCTATACTCAATAGATAGGGAATTAAACTCCACTTCTCTGAGGGGGAAATATATATATATGAATTTTATAAGATTTACCTATTCTTCCAATTTGTTTGTTTCCCTGTTTGTGTATGTGTTCATTCATTCAATAATTTATGTGTAAACTCATAAATATGTATTTTGTGTTATAATACACTACTACATTGTGTATTTTGTTAGTCAAATTGTTACAGCTTTGGCCTTTGTGAGCTCTTTAAATTGGCTTTTATGTCTTTTTGGCATGCTTTTGGCTTATTTATTGAGTACTTCCCCAAGTCCTAGCACTGTAGAATAGTCCAATTAATCTTATATTGCATAATATAAATCTCATAATCTTCTTGCCTCAGCCCTAGACTCAGCTATTTCTCCAAGGATTCCTGGTTCCTTTTATTGGAGAAAGGTACTAGAAACCAAGATCTGGCCACTAATTACGTTCCCTGCTATTGGGGTGTTATTGCTTCTAAGCCCTTTCAGTGGAATGAGCTAAGACACAAATGTATTTATTAATATATTAACATGTATATGCATAAATATTCATACATCTATCACACAGTAGCTGCAATAAGCTAAGCATTGTTTCACACTGATAACTCCAACTCTAATCCCATAACATATTTTAATTAAATAGCATCTTGGGTTTAATAGAGTACATTATTGAAAGCATATCTTATATTTTTGTTTCAAATGCTCCTGTCAGAGTTGTACATCAAAAGCAACTCTGAAAAAGATACCCACGCAAGTGAGAAATGATGTTCATGGTGCCTGATTCTGAAGAATCTTTAAGAAAATCTATGGACATTTATTTTCATTCATTCCCACTAAAGTTCACCATGCTTGAAAAAGGAAAATAGACTTTAATAATGTGTGCACACAACCACAGTTGCCTGATGTTTTAATTTTTTTTCTGTCAATTGGCATATACTGCAACAATGAAACATGAGTAGATATATTTTACTTACTAAGAACTAATACATTTACTTCTGTTGATGCATCCTATTATTATGGTCACATTTCATTTTTCAAGATATAAGACTGAGTTATAAAAAAATAATTTTTAATGAAATTATAAGATAATTAATATTAATATGTACAGATTAATCATTATAACTAAAGGGTAGTCAGAATACTTATAAATGTTTATCATGAGTTTTATCACAAAAATTGGGTGGAAAATGTCGATAGTAACAGGCTAGACTGGTAATCCATATTGGATAACTATTATTTTCTGAAAGTAAAAACACCAACTCATTTTATCATTCTGTTATTCTGGTAACTGATAAAGGTTTACCTGTCAATCAAAATTTTAAGTCTAAATATAAAGTCAAATGATAAATAAATTCTCAAGAAATTCTAAGCCATTCCATACCTTTAAATTATATTAGGAATTCTGGTTACAATGTACTAAATCAGTATTAGTTTCTGTGGCTATGGCAAGTAATTACCACAAATATAGTGGCATAAAGCAACAGAAACATATTCTGTCATAGTTTTAGAGATTAGAAGTCTAAAATCAGTATGACTGAGATGATATCAAAGTGTTGAAGGGCTGTCCTCCCTTCAGAGGGTCTGGGGAGAATCTATTTCAGTCCTCTTCCAGCATTTAGTGACTATCAGCATGCCTTGTCATGTGACCACATCATTCCAGTATGCAAGGATAGCATCTTCACATTTCTCTCTCCTCAATGTTGCCTTCTCTGTGTGTGTCAAATCTCCCTCTGTCTCCCAATTATGAGAATGAATGTGATAGCATTTGTGATAATCTTCCCATATCAAGATGCTTTGATTAATAACATCTGCAAGGACCCTTTCTTGCTACATAAGTTAACTTTCATAGGTTCCATGAATTAGGATATAGATGTCTCAGGGTAGTCATTTTTCAGCCTACCCTAGACTACATCATGATCTTCCTATCTCCTTCCATAGGAGAGGAAAAAAAATTACCCTAATAAAACAACTTCCTCATGATTCTCTCTAAAAGACAATGTATATGGCTAAGGTAGCGTAAGAAATATAAACACTCACTATGAAACAACGTTTTAAAATATTGCTTAAAACAACATAGGACAAGCGTATTATTAACTTGTTGAGAGAGAGAGAGAAATGGATAGTACCAGATAATGAAACTCAAATAATAATTTTTCTTCTTGGTAGACTAGGACAATGGATAATCCAATTATGTTACAGCAAGCTGGACAAAAGCACAGAACTGAAGTGTCAGACTATAGTTATATAGTCTTTAGAAAGATCTTAATTAATCAAACATAAAAAAATTTAAAGGAAATGTTTTCTAAAGTCTACAATATGCTACATTTATAAACCATTATTGCTGGTACAATACATGACACTAAGAAAGATGAATCCCAAGGTATTAGCAATAACATCAGAGGAGTGGGAGCTGATGATTCAGGAAATTATCAGAGAGAGAGAAAAACATGAATGGTTCCAGTGGGGTTTAAATTCCCAACATTATTAAGGAATTATGGACTTCTTGGGCCACATCAAGGAAGAGAAGTAAGAATGACCTGCTTGCATGGAACTGGAATGTAGAAAGATCAGCCCCATCTATGGAATGGGAATTAGGATTAAAAAAAAAAAAAAAACAGAAACAAAAACTTCTGCCCACCAGGATTGAGAAGTTGTACATGTATCAGCCACTCAACAGGGGCCATAGATAGAAAAGAGGTCATGGTTGAGAAAGCAGATGGCAAGTTTGGACTTGATATGTGTAGGAAATCCAGATTCACACAAATACATAATGTGATGATTTCAATCCAGAATAGTAACATAAAATGTGGTATAGCACTGATGAATCAATAGAACCTCAGCAGAGCAAATACCAAATATAAAAATGTCTTAAGAGAATTTTTTCATAACTTAAGATACTAGACTCCATAGTAGGGGAAATAAAGAGAATGTAAGACATCATCAACAAAAGTCAATATAGCAATACAGAGTTGTTTCTTAAGAATTAGAAATAATATTACATATATTATATTTATATATTTATATATGCATTATATATTATATATATTTATATTTGATGTATATATAAATATATAAAATATATCCCTAGAGGGAATCTTGTGGGCCTTCATAGCTAATCCTAATATTCATTTGGAAGAGAAAAAGCCAAGAAGTTCACAGACTATGTTAAAAAGCTAAACTGATCCTATGAGACATTAAAAATTATTATTAAAATTTTGGAAAAATATTGTATATTTTGGCACAGTTAGAATCCAAATGATACATAGAATGTAAGATAAAGCTGAGAAACAAACCTGCACCTGTATAGAAACTTGATATATAGTAGAGATGCCATTGAAATCAGTGAGAAGGGACAGACTATTAAATAAGTGGAGATGGAACAATTTGTTATGCAGATGCACAAAATCAAAGCACAGTCATTCCTTGGTATTAGTGGTAGATTGCTTCCTGGATGAGCACAGATATCAAAATCTGCAGATGCTCAAGTCTCTTATATAAACAGATGTATATAAACTGTGCATATCTCCCTGTATATTTTAAATCACCTCTCGATTACCTATGATACTCAATACAATATAAATGTATTTATTTATATTATCTCTTATAGTTGTATTATTTGGGTTTTTTTCCTGAATATTTTTGATTTACTGTTGGTTGAATCTATGGATGCAGGACCTGTGAATACAGAGGGCCAACTGTAGATTTATTGCATCTTATCA